AAGGGATCTAAAATAGAGTACAGAGCAGGACCTTGGAATGGTCTTCTCTTTCAATCGATGAGAAGGATTGCATTGATCTATTTCAACCATGAATTTGAGTTGAATGAGAATGAAGTCTGTTATACTGCTGAGCCCAAAAACAGTTCAGAAGTTATTAGGTACATGCTGAACCCAGCAGGCTTTGTTCAGCTCCTTTTATGGAGTGATAAACAACGTGATTGGGAGTCTTTAATTACGTCACGTCTTGATCAGTGTATGAACTATGCCCTTTGTGGAACATATGCTACCTGCAATGAAAATGACTCTCCAGCTGTGTGTTCATGCTTGGAAGGGTTCACGCCCAAATTTGTAGGAAAGTGGGATTCAAGAGTTTGGTATGATGGGTGTGTTAGAAGAACTCCATTGGTTTGTAACAATGGAGATAGCTTTCACAAGCGCACGGGTTTGAAATTGCCAGACACGTCCCATTCCAAGGTTAACGCGACCATGAACATCAAAGACTGCAAGCAGTTATGTTTGAGTGATTGCTCTTGCACTGCATATGCAAATTCAGATATAAGAGAGGGGGGAAGCGGATGCCTGCTGTGGTTTGGTGATCTGTTGGACATGAGAGATGATATAGGGCAGGATGGGCAAGACCTTTATATTCGACTTGCTGCTTCTGAAATAGGTACTTGTCCTCTTCTTTTCACTATGGATCGTGTTTAAATCTTTTTTTTTTTCAATATTTATTCGTGCAATTATATCCTGAGGGATTTAGTCTAGAGGAAGTAGGATTTAGAGGTAAGAATCAATACGAGTAGAAACTGGAGAACATTTTTCAGGTACCTTGCTCTTGAACCATGGTAAGCTCAGGACAATCTTTGGATGGCAGCGAAGGAAAGATGGATGAAAACTTTGGAACTATGGACATGATCAGTTTGCCTTCTGCAGAATTATTTATTCTAACAAACTTGGAAAAAAAACTGAAAATCCACATCTCTGACTTTATCTCATATCTTGCAGCTAATATCGAACAAAAAAGGCAATCATGGGAGAAAAAGCGAGCAGCAATTATAGTCGGCTCTGTCATAATAGGAATTGGAATGCTGATACTACCCGTCTTGTGTATCCTGTGGAGGAAACGCAATAACAAAGGTAAATAAACTTGATTACTTATGTTGAAACTTAAGCAAAAGCTGCTTATCTGGACAAAATTGTCGGATTAAAATGTCTGCTGTTAGTCCTCATAACCAGCCCCTATTTTTCTTATTTTGAAATGATTTTTACTAACGTTGCTGTGAATCCCTTCCCCACAACGCCTGACTTAACTATATACATAAGGTGCTTGCACTAATGCCAATACATTGTGCATCGTTTCAGGATTGACAATAAAGAATCGTGCAATGGATTGTGATGAAAGGGAGAACGAAGAGATGGAATTGCCATTATTTAATTTTGGGACCATAGCAAATGCCACAAATAACTTTTCTATTGAGAACTTGCTGGGAAGAGGTGGATTTGGATCTGTTTACAAGGTAAAGCAACGATATGCTACCGCGGCTTCATTCAAGTTCTGCAGCATGTATATTTCTTGTAAGTATAACATTTATTTGTTATGGTCTTAAAGGGTACATTGCAGAGGGGCAGCACATAGCAGTAAAGAGACTGTCAAATGATTCTGGACAAGGGCTGAAAGAATTCAAAAATGAAGTTATTTTGATTGCCAAACTTCAGCACCGCAATCTTGTAAAGCTTCTCGGCTGTTGCATTCAAGGAGATGAAAAATTGTTAATCTATGAATACATGGCCAACAAAAGTTTGGACTACTTTATTTTCGGTTTGGTCCTTCACTATTCCTTTCATGTTTCGAAATCTTTTTTCTCTGACACCTTCCCTTTAAGGATTCTATTAGTGGTTTGGCTAACATGGGGAACTGAATCAGATCAAACAAGAAGCAATCTACTAGATTGGAGTAAGCGAGTGAATATTATTGGTGGAATTGCTCGAGGACTTCTTTATCTTCATCAAGACTCTAGGCTTAGAATAATCCACAGAGATCTCAAGTCTAGCAACATTTTACTGGATAAGGCAATGAATCCAAAAATTTCAGATTTTGGCTTAGCTAAAACATTTTGGGGAGAGCAAACTGAGGCCAACACAAATAAAGTGGTCGGAACATGGTAAGTACAAAGTTAATCAAATCTTTCTTTATGGCTATCCTTTACGTTGCTATTAAATTGTTTTGACAACATATTCGCAGTGGTTATATGTCGCCTGAATATGCCATTGATGGGGTTTTCTCAATGAAATCTGATGTCTTTAGCTTTGGGGTTCTTGTCCTTGAGATAGTAAGTGGAAAGAAGAACAGGGGATTTTCCCACCCAGATCATGATCACAATCTTCTCGGACATGTAAGGTTAAATGTTGAGATTGTTAACCATGTTGAATTTCCAAGGTAGAAATCATGATTCTGAATTTTTGAGATTTCAGGCTTGGAGTTAGGACAGAAAGGAGGCCAATGGAACTGATTGGTGATGCCCTTTGGGACTTTAGCTTGCCATCTGAAGTGCAGCGATGCATTCATGTGGGATTATTGTGCGTGCAGCAACGACCAGAAGATAGACCAAACATGTCTTCTGTAATTTTAATGCTAGGCAGTGAAAGTGCATTGCCTCAACCAAAGCAGCCAGGGTTTTTCACAAGGAGGAATATGCCTGAAGCTGAGTCTTCAACAAGCAACTGTAAATCATCTTCTGCAAATGAGTGCACCGTTACCCTGTTAGAGGCACGGTAGTTGGATTTGTCACTTGACAAATGGAGCTATGTAACACTCCTGAATTGTCTGTGTTTTATGTGTATGATGGTTAAGTCGATAGACAGGCTAATTTAAGAGGTTAATGTGTAATGACTTTATGTATCTATGAAAATGAGAATATGCCCATGTCCATAGAAGATAATTGGGTATAAATGAGTAAGTGAAAGTTTAAATGATATCGTGCATACGTTTGGCACATAAATGATGATGATGTGCATATGCCTAGCACCCAAATGGTATAGTGCATTGTTTGGCACTTAATTGAGCATAATGTGTATGTAAATTATGTTATGTTTAATTGATATGCTATGAAACATAAGGCAAGGATGAGAATTTAAGCTATGTGATATGCTTATGTGTTGATATTGGATGAAGTTTAATGAATTCTGATAGGTAATGTTAGCTGGAAAGGATATGGGAGATTGGGAATCGAGTTAGGAATGCTTCACGTGTTGGAAAAGTGCATTTTGGACAAACAGTATGGATACATGAGGCAATACATTCAAGGCAGTAAGAACCCAAAGGGTCTTATGGGAATCATGTATCGATACATTGCCTTATGTATCGCAGATTTAAAGAAGAAAACATTCTAGATGAAAAGTATCAATACATTAAGGGCAGAGAGTATCTTGTTTAAAAAGTATCAATACAATGCCTTATGTATCAATAGATTTAAATTGAACCAGAGTAAATGTATCGATACATTGCCAAATGTATCGATACATTGCCAAATGTATCAATCATGCATGCAGATTTACAAAAAATATAAGATATTGGGCAGTCCACCCATTCAAAAACAAAGAGAGAAACTAAGAACTCTCTCACCCTCTCTCAAAACCCCTATCCTCCTTGGTGATTTGGAGTTTGGAGAAGGTGTTTTTAAAGCTAGGAAACCAATCTAAAGGTAAATTAAAAGCTTTTCACCGATGATTTCTAATTTGAACGGTTTGATAATTAGAAATATGTGTTTAAGATTTAATGGTTGATGGTGTTGGAAATCAGTTGGAGATTTGAGGTTTGAGTAAGCCAAAACAATGTCTACGGTAAAGATTTAACTCTATGTTGAAGAATTTAAGAGATTTGGGCATTTTATGCTAGTTAGTTATAGATTTAGCTATTTGAAAAGCTGAAAATTTATTTGAAAGCTAAGACTTAGCTATGCAATTGAGATTATGATATAAATGCTGATGATTATCCACTATTAAATGTTAGATACCTATGGAAGAAAGAATGTTGCCCAAAGTGCTGAATTGTATGGATTGAAGCTAAGGGATTGATAAGCTGAAATTGAGGCTTGGTGAGCTGAATTGTCCAAGGCTAAAAAAGAACACTCATAGTGTCAAGGTGAGTGGGGAATTTCAAAGCATAGGAGCATAAAGACTAGAGTGCATGTATGCTTCTATAATGAAAATGCATGATGTATGCTATGTATAAGCCATAAGTATGTTTAAAGGTAAAATTCTCATACTAGAAAATGATTATGAATGATGTGATATGCCTAGAAGGATTATGCCTAGGCTAATAAAGTTAATATGAATATGAGCTAATATTATGGGAGTTAGGATGTTATGATGAATGTGTATATGATAAATACATCAAGAAATGTTATGTCTAGACTAATGAATGTTATGAGAATCTTATGATATGCCTAGAAAGATTGTGCCTAGGCTAAATGCAAAAATGTGGACCATGATGAGAATAAAATGTAAGTTCATGATTATGTGATTGTGATAGATAATGATGATGATGATTTGTCCATGGATGATTTTGGACAATGTTATGATGTGAAATAAGCATATTCCATCCGAGGATGATTCCGAACAATGTATATCATGAGGTTGAGTGTATCCATATCCCTGTGACTATGTATGTTGCTTGCAGAGATAGTGGTAAGTAAGGATGGTGGTTTCATCCTGCTTATGATTCCCACCTGCTGTGCAATGATGTATAAAGCCTATAGGGATAGTAGTAAATAAGGATGGTGGTTTCATCCCGCTTATAATGCTATGATGCCATTTGTTGAGATTACTTTAGATGATGATTATAGATTCTGTAGTTTGCCGTGGCAATAGGGCTTGACAAGACTCCGTCGTTTGCCTCGACAATGGGGCATGACCTGACTCTGTTGTTTGCTGCAGCAATGGGGCGTGACATGATAATGTATGATGTTCATCGGTTGGCCACTGCACGTGACTATGTTATATTCAAGGAGGACCACTCAATGATATGTTACAATGTTATGAATATGTAGTGGAATTCCATAGGATATGCAATGTAAATTACGATATTTTGTGCTACGAATTAATGATTAATGCAAAAGCTCGAGGTAAGAGCCATATGTATATGATAAACATAGTATGATGAAATGCAAGCTTATGGAGTCCAAGGACGTTTGCATTGATATGGATGCTTAAGAGGTAAGTGTGATTAAAACGTATGTAGACGACCATATGGTGGGCCAATTCATATGCTAGATAAGGCGGATAGACGACACTAATGATGAGATATAGTAGGCATGATAGACATAGATCACCTTGCCTTTTTATGTATACATATGTAACAACGTAGTATACTACAAGATGATGATGATGTATATGATATATAATAACAGACCTGTCCAGTTATAAGTATGTTGACGCTTACTTATGTATATGCATGTTTAGAGGATATGTGTAGCAACTATACCTGCACAATTACAGTTGATTTATGCTCCTGCTCACTAAGTACAATAGTGACACACCCTATTTGATTGTATTGTGCAGATAAATAGACAAAGAGGGTCAGGTGGCATAGCATTGTCGACATCAGACGCACAATTTTGGCAAGTGGTGTGTTATCTGCTAGCAACGTATCTCCGCTGGGTCATAGATTGAGTCTTACGCTTCTGCAGTGTATAAAATGATTATCTCTAAAAGGGATTATGCAAGCACTGTGCTGCCCTATGTAAATGTAATGAGATGTTAAGTGGATTGATGAGACAGCCATTGTATGGCTATATAAATTTATGTTTAAGTCTTGTAGATGAAAATGAGCCACAACGGCTAAATTTTTTAATGTTTAAGAATGATTTCATGATACGATGTTGCCAGGAGGCCTTATATAAATGAATTATGTTGTATAGGACTTATGAGTAAAGGCTTCTTCCAGTCTCGCAAGCTTACTTGTCAAGCTCATGCGTGCTAGCCACGAATGTTTGGGACGTGACAAGTTAGGGGCAGCTTTGGCTTTTCGTGTAAGACCTGATCAAGAAGGAAACAAGAATGGATGAGATGATGAGCTAAGATGTACATGCATCACATTTTGTATTTATTTACCCTTAGGATGCTTAAGCAATATCTTTCTTCTCTCTAAACTCCAAAAATACGTAAAAGTGATTAACCCAAATCCAAATACTCTTATTGATTATTAGATTAAAGTTTAGTATTCATTGATTTCTTAAAGAATCTTATCGAAACACAGTTCCTATTATGAGAATTAAATAACTATTAAACAAGATAATCATGACATATCAGTGTAATTCAAACATAACTGTATAACCATGATGATAAGTCTAAAAATTTTTAATTATTATTTTATACGTCGACGTTGTAATTATAAGTTTCATAAATAGCTTTATATAACTGCCCCCTTAATTGAGGATAATTTAATAAATTTCCTCCTTTACAAATGAGAAAATAATCCAAATTAAATAAATAGTTTATTTATTTATGATATAAATATAAAATTTAATAATTTAACGGTTTAGGAAACTTACAGTAGGTAATGTTGATAACAAAGGATAGGAAATTAGTAATTTGAAATAGACTTGGAAATCCATGTCAAAGTCAATTCACTTTCATCATCAAAGAGCTGTAGTTTCCAAGCTAATATCCAGGCATGTGCCTTCAAATCCCCATTTCTTCTTTTTATTTTCTGTTTGTATTATGATTTTGTTTGCTTCAGTTCAAGATGAAGCTTTAATGGTTTCAAGTGTAAATGTTAAGACAAAGGAGAGTTGCGGTTTTTTTTTTTTATAGTCCAAAATAAAATGTAAAACACAAAATGATTTTGTTTGCTTCGATGTCAAAAAATATAAAAATTGTGCATACAATTGCATGGATAATGGAAATTGACTTTTTAAAATCACAAATTTAGAGTTAAAACCTAAGAGGGATATATGATATATGGATGAGAGAGAACTATTTTTCATCGAGTTTAATAGATATATAAGATTAAGTAAACATGCAGACACATGTATCATCTCTAGGTAAATCAAGCCATGCTTTGTGCAAAGCTAACTATTCCTATACTTGTTTTTAGTTGAAGTTGTACTTGTTTCCTATATGATTTTGTTTCTTGTAGATCAAGCATGTTAAATTTCTAGTTGATTTGTATCAATAAGTATAATTATTAAGTGTTCTGGATATATTTGCTTAATGAACATACTCTTGAACCTTAATGGTTCTCATCCATTACTGTTCTTCATGTTAAAATTTACACTAAACCAACTTTTCAATCAACTGGGTGTAAAGTTTTTAGTTGTAAGGAATGTTTTCCCTAGTGGTTGAGCATAAATTTCCCAAATCTTTTTCTACCTGGAGGAAGCAGGACTGGATGATAAAATGGAGAATGGTTTCAGTATATTGCCATTTTGGTTCAATGTAATTCCTTTCTTCACATTGCCAGCCTTGGATGGTATGTTCTGGCAGCAAATAATGGTAACGATAATGGATATGAAGTTCCCAAACAAGGATATCAGTCCAATCGTCTACATTATTACTTTTGGCTTAAGCGTGGCCTTGTTTCTTCTAATGACCATTTTATCAGGCATTACTGCATTTGACGATGTTCTGAAACGCCTGAACATCATATCTGCTCCGACTTTAAATCTGAAAGAAACCAAAGTTCCTGTTGGGTTTTCTGCAATTGCAACTTGCTTGTTTTTGTTCATTGTTGGTATATTTTGCCGGCTGCTAGTGGATGTCGATAAGGTGGTGAAGCAACAAAAAGTTAACATTTGTTCAGTTATACTGTACCTCATTGCAAAATCCTTGGGATTCAACATTTTCCTGGTCATGGCTTGTTTCTTTGGCATTACCTTGATTGCGGAAATTGTCCAAGGTTCTTCAAAGGCTGCAGTCACTCCAGTTTCCGATCTTTAAATGCCTGTTGAGCCAAACTCTTAGTACTCTAATGGTAAGAGAATGGAGCTTGGAATTGGGGCTCTTTTGGAACCTGTTTAAGGTATTGTGCTGGTGACATCAGTTTCTATATTGGTTCACTACTATTTGGTTAGCTTTCTAGTGGAGTTTATTTGGAGATTGTTTGACATTAACATTGTCATCGGCGATTCCATCTGCTCCTTCTCTTTCTGATTGTTCTGTTTGTCATCAGTTTGTAGACTTCTATATAAACGATTGAGTCTATTGACAATCATTGTAACTAAAATGTTTTGCATTTTCCAAGTTAAAAAGTTCAAACAGACAAAAAAATAAAGATGAACTATAAAAAGATTCCCTGATATACAAGTATCATATTCTTGGAGTTTCTACTATTAGTAGAACATGATCCAACCTTGGACGGAGAAGAATCTATTTCGTACAGCTACCTTTCTGTGAAAATCCAGGCCCTTTTTTGTCTGAGGCAGGTACTGCAGTTTCACTAGTTTGCATCAGAACAACAGTTGCATGCTTGATCTGTCCTCTGGACTTTGGTGCACACATAATAGACCAACATGGATTGATCGTAGCACTGTTGAAAGGATAAAAGAGTCTTTTAGGCTGCCATCATCAACCTGTTCTAATGATCTCCCCTCTAGCAGTATATTGAAGACCAAACATGCTGATCTATAACTTAAATGTGTTATTGCGTTTACCAGTTGTTTAACTAGAATTCAACCTTTTTTTGTTTTCTGTTGATCTTTAGAGAATATTATCAGAATACTTAACCGAGATAAATTGAAAGACATGTTGAAGCTAATACTTGCATGCAACCTGCAGTAGCAGTTTAACACTTGTCCAAACTCAACTCAAGTCCTTGACAGCTATTACTCCTCACAGCTTATGTATTAACATGTTGTCATGCATGCTTAGGTCTTAATGCATTTTAACACTTGTCTTATGCTTGTGACCAAGTGTTGTAAGCTATTATCCACGTTTGAATCCGTTTTACTTAAATATCTTAAGCAACCAGTAATGAATTGGATGAACTTTAGTTCCTTGCTAAGCATTTTTGTTCATCCCTGTTTTTTCCTTGCCTGTAACAGAGGCTGCATCATGCAGCCTTATCCCGACATCTTTCAAATCACAACAAGACAAAGATAAGTGTATTTAAACACAACCACTAAAAGGACAAGAACAAGAATGAGTTACCTTGAAAATAAGGGATCAAAGGACAGCACATATAGCATATAGCATATAGATAACTGCTGTCGTTAACGGCTCACAAAATGGGGGCTTTATTATAGCATAAAATAGAACAGCTTAAAGATAGAATAATAAGACATGTAAATGAGACGTGGACATCTTCCTTCTTTCAAGAACTGACGCCACTCTTCTGCAACCGAGACCTCAATCTCCATTATTTTCTCAGCCTAGAACTCAGCCTTTTCTTAGCAAAAACTTTTCACAGATTTCATTTTCTGATCTACGACGGGTTACTATCGACGCGGATGATGGTAGGTTGCTGTTTTTCTTCAGAAATGATTAATCACATGTCATGAATTTTAGTCATGTTTACCTGAAACTTTAAAAAATTCAGCCATATTTGAATCCTTTTTCCTCTGTTTCTGTTCTCATAGTACTTGGCTATCAAAAAAAACTTTAGGCTGCCTTGGAGACGAAAGGTAGCGTCAATTTCTATAGCCAGCACTTGGTGGAGATATTGGAAAACCCTGTGTGGCTGCTAGGTGCACTAACAACACCCCGACCCAAGACAAATGCCCCAAGTCAAATGGCCTATCTAAAGATCTCAACTCAAGATTCCAGAGTATTTGGAATTACAATGCTAATTCTAGGAGTATTGGGAGATCATTACAACTGTTTTCGAATAGAACACTCTCACTCATTCCTATTCTTCACTTTTGAATCTTTGAACTGCACATTGAAGCATTAGATGTTACATCTGTATTTTTGTCACTAAGACATGAAAGTGAAAACAGAATGAAAAGGTTAATATCAGAAAAAATCAGTTATCTTCGCTCCATTAGTGTAATGGTGAGTTCATCATACGAACATGGTTTCTGATTGCTTGATGAGGATTTAGCTTCACTTAGATCCCTTTCATTGAAAAAACCTGGTTGTTTAGGCTGAGGTAGAGGACTTTCTCCACCAAGCATCAGGACCACAGTTGACATCCTTGGCCTATCTTCAGGATTCCGTTGCACGCATAGAAGACCTATATGAATTGATCTCAGAACTTCAGATAGATTGGAGATGTCTCTAATTGGTGCAGCAATCAGTTCCAAGGGTTTGCCTTCAGCATAAAGCTTCCATGCCTACTGAGTTGAAGCCACTTTAATTATAATAGAATTCAAACCAGGAGATGATGAGAGGGGATCATAATTTGAAACTTACATGCCCGAGGAGGTTATGGTGGTGATCTGGATGAGAGAATCCTCTATTCCTTTTCCCACTAACAATCTCTAGCACCAACACGCCAAAGCTAAAAACATCAGATTTAATCGAGTAGAGCCCATCAATTGCATACTCCGGAGACATGTAACCACTGCAGTTAAGAATCATTACATGTTGTTTCAGATTTACATGATATGATGTTGCTAAATGTTGTACCAGTCTGGGGCCAAAACTTACTATGTTCCCACCACTTTCTTTGTCTTTTCTTTGGTGACATTTTCCCCAAAACTTCTAGCAAGGCCAAAGTCTGAAATTTTTGGGTTCAGTTGACTGTCCAGTAATATGTTACCTGTCTTCAGATCTCTATGAATTATTCTTTGCCTTGAATCTTGATGGAGATAAAGGAGTCCACGAGCAATACCATTGATGATGTTGTAGCGCTTAGGCCAATCCAGTGACAAGCTTTGAGCTTGATCTGCTCAAATTTCTTACACAGTTCAATCTTGTGCAAATTTATTCATTGGCTAACCACTTCATCTTGCAACCCAAAGTCTGGTATGCAGTTGGGGTTATAAGATGAATGCAGTCAAGTCCAACAATCAAACCATATCCAAGGTTAGAGAAAGACTTACCAAAAAGAAAGAAGTTCAGGCTTTTGTTAGGCATGAATTCATAGATCAACATCTTTTCATCTCCTTCAACGCAGCATCCAAGAAGCTTCACTAAATTTCGGTGCTGCAGCTTTGCAATATGAACTACTTCATTTTTGAACTCACTAAGACCTTGTCTCGAATTCTCTGATAGCCTCTTTACTGCTATTTCTCTTCCATCCTTCAGCGTACCCTGAAGTTTAATTATACCCAAAGATCATTTCTGGTAATGCTTAAAAGTTTTCTTGAAGCTGCCAAAGCTTATACAGGCACCTTACCACATAAAAAAAGGAGGATGGTTTTCCTATTTTCATAACCAAACACCCACTCACACCTCACAGAGAGAAACAAATGAGAGTTAATTGAATTCCCTATTGAAGATGAATACGGAAAAAAAGTTCCATCGATCTTTGAAGTGTATAGTCTTATGATCAATTGAATAGTTTAGTCAACATCTATTGAGTAACATCTAATGCATTGGGCACATAAGTTGCAGAAAACCCCATTTACGGCTACTGTATTGATGTCAATGCAAAGAGGTGGAAACCATCATAGCTATTAACAATGAACATGTTGCTAGACAATTTACTACATTGTTACCTTGAAGACAGATCCAAAACCACCTTCTCCAAGTTTATTCTTGATAGAAAAATTTTTGGTTGCATGGACAATTGTGGCCATGTCAAAAAATGGTACTTCTGGATCTTCCCTCTGATTTGCATTATTAGAACTGCTTCCACAAACGCATTTAAAAAATCCTGCAATGTAGGAGCCGGTGTATACATGAAATGATAGCAGAAACCTATTTGTAAAAGGTCAGCTTTCAAAAAATTGACAGAGAAGCTACAGTAGGAACGCTATCTGTTAAATTGAGACTTGCATTGAAGACCCTGGAAGCCTTATTTTCTGTCAAATGCCCATGCCTCACTGTTTTGTGTTTTGACAGTTACTGTCTAGGTTAATGTCTGTCATGCACCTAATGCATGTTTTGATTGATAGTTAGGCTCTCCTATGAGTTAGACTATTGTGGTGCACAACTTATGATTAAAACTTTGTTTGAAAGCTTTCATTTGTACATATACTGAAGTTAATGAATATCAGGCTAAGTTGCCTTAGTTTCCTGTTTTTGTGCTCCTCTGTTCTGTTCTGTTTTTTCTTTCATCTATGGCTGCTTGCTCTACTGATGTTGTGCTGCAGTAGTATTACCTACTGATATTGAATGCTAAGCTTCTGATAAGCTATAAAACAACACTATCCCATTAACTGCATGCATCCATTACCTACCCTAGTTTTCTAATACAAATGAAGTTCTGTTTGTTGTTTTTGTTTTCTTTTTTCCTGAAGTACTTAGTTACCATTAACAACATTAGCTTTTCATCTACTTATTGTCTAATCACTCGCATCAAACTTGGCAGAAGTTTCAAAATGTAAAAATGGATCGGAGGAAACACATACCTCGTTCATGGTGTTTCTTCCTCCAAATAAACAGAACCAATCCTAGGACCAGAACTATAGTAGGCAATGCAATGCTGACACCAATTATCACTCTAATTTTCTTCATATTGGATTCAACTTTTGTCTTCTTACTGTCAATTTGAACTGTATACAATGAAAATCACAACAGAAAACATTGAAATAAGAATAAGGAATTTCCATCACTGACTACCAGGCTCACCAATCAAATTGTTGGCATACAACTTAAGCCTTTGGTTCAGGTTGGACACCTACTCCAACTCCAAATCTAATTGCTACTTCTCACCAATTTTAAAATAAATATATTGCCATTCAATAATTCTATATTGGTGTAACCAATAAACTAAGCATATACTAGAGGGACAAACACCCAAAAAATCAGCTTAAACTAGATGGCAGTGATCTAATGATCTGAAAAATTCAATACACGCATACCGAACTTAAAATTTCAGCTGTCCTACTGTCATAACCATGTTCAGCTGTCCTACTGTTATAACCATGTTCAGCTGTCTTTGGAGATGTAACAAAAATAATTTCAGCCATTTTGCTGCTCTTGCACTCTTTGCCAGTCACTCTCATTTTAAGTTTAAGTTATCTAGAATTGATGAAAAATTTATGACATAAATGTTCTTCAGGGTTAGAGGATGATAACATACCAAGTTCTGCTGCAGCCATTCTTATGTAAATTACTTGTTCATTTTGAGTCACCTGTCTGATATCAATCAGATCATTGAACCAAATCAAACACCCACTTCCTTTTCCTCTTACATCCAAATTAGTATAAGCTGTGCAGTTGCAGTTCTTCATGCAGTGGTTCTTGCACTCCTCCAGGTTCATACTATAGTTAAACCAGGATTGACTTGCGTCGGGCAACTTTAGTCCAGCATACTTCAGAAATCCATTTTCCGAACAATTTAGCGGAGTCTTTCTAACACATCCACCCAACCCAGGCGCCACTTTCCATTCTTCTTTATTTTTTGGCTCAAATCCTTTTAAGCAATTGCATGCAGGGGAGTTGTCATTGTTATTGTTGCAATTGCCATTTACACCACATAATGCATAACTGTCACAAGTATCTAGATACGGTGGAAGGTGAAGTACCCAATTTTGGGCTTCATCAATCCATGTGAATCTCTGTATATTTCCATTGGGGAGGAGCAATGCCCTCGAAAGAGTGGAGCTGTTATAAAGGTTCCAGCTGAAGTATATCTCTTTCTCATTGAAAACAAATTCAAATCCATAAACAGAGTTTGGTGTGAGACCAGTTATCCCACTAAACCTCAGACCATTCCAAGCGCCACGACGCATTCTCTTTATCGAGCCCTCTCTCAGAACCCACTCTGGAAATCCATCAAGATCAAATCCATAGGTAAAATTACCCGGAAAAGGATCGTTTGTTTCCTTCCATGATGATAAGTAACGATCCAGACCTGTTACCAAGTCCTTTCCAAGCTTCATGTTTGGTAGGAATGTATCCCAAGGATAATCGAAGCTCTGCCACATGAAGTTTTGAGGGTTACCATCAGTCTCATCTTTAACAACAAGGTTACCTGAATCCAAGATCTGTGCAACCGGTCTACGAGCAATTGTTGATGAGTTGGAAGACCAGACAGTGCTCCCGTTGTTGTCAAGAAGGACAAGAATTCCTTGGTTGGTAACTTTTAGAACTCCTGAAGAATCATTGAGGGGTACTTCTCTGTTGGCCACCCAGACAACAGTCGTGCTAGATTTCTTATACCATATTCCCAAGTACCTTTTGTTGGTAACACTTGGGCTAAAAAATCCTACTTCAAAGACTCCACCAGCCGAAACTATGGTCTCACCATCTTTAATCGATCGAGTTGTATCTACAGTGTCAACCTCAGTGGATGTTATTACTAAGTTAGGACACAAAACGAAGCAAAGAAGAAGTATGGTAAAGCCTTTTATCCGAAGCAAAAGATTTGAAGATATGAAACCCACTTCCTGCCTGAATGTCTCTCCCATATTTCTTCAACTGAATCAAACAACTGAAAACTGTAAATAGAATAATTACAGTCCTGACTCTTGACGTTCCGTTCTGATGGCTGCCTGAGGCTTTCCTGTTCAGAGCCTGTAGAATTTTCTACCTTGGACCAAAGAATGTGCATTCTGGCGCCATAAGACTACCTAAGATTGAACCAATTGATTTCTTGTTTTCAACAATAATGAATTACGTAAGAAA